TTTGAGTCAATTTTCAGTTTTTACTGACAAAAAATTTGGCAATGTTTGACCCAATCTTTTAAGAAAAGTGCAAATTATAAACGGGACTATTTTATAAATTTTTTGATGAAAAAAGGGAACTGGTGATGAAACTAAAGTAGACAAGTGCCTGATGAGAACACACATTTAAAAAAAAAAAAATGAGTTTGTCAGTTAAAGACATGATTAAAGCTCATCTCAGTTTGTTTTGAAAACCTTTCATTTGCATATACAAGTTATCAGTGCCATTCTTCTGACAGTTCTGACAGTTTGGTGAAAATAGTCAGTATTTATTTACTGGACAATGTTTTATGTGATTTGCCCAAATATATGTTTTGTGTAATGAACATAACACTGATTGTATGGTTAGCCCAAACCTTACCTTCCAGACTTTCATGAGTTTAAATAAACCCTTCCTATCTCTGATCAATGACATTATTTTCATGGCTCTTTCTTTTCGATGTGTTTCAATCAAAACTTGAACACCTTCAAATTCACTGCATTTATATAAAAGTCCATTTGCATCCAGAACAGATGAACTAGCACCTTTCATCAAAAGAGACTTCACCACTTTACTGAAACCTACAATTATATTAAAATTAAATTATAGTGGTATTTCAAAGTGCAAGTGACATAATGGTCGAATACTACAGCTGTTTTTGAAGAATTAATGTTTTCCTCAAAATGATAAAATACGTGTATTCACTATTTGCCATGCTTTTTAGTGTTTCTACAATCATCATTACCATGGTAGTTTATTTGATTGTTGCCATGACAATTACAATCTTGTTACAAATCTCATGCATCAAAGCAATTCATCTGGTAGTTTTCAAGCCAACATTTTTTTACTAAATATGACAAAAATATTCATCAAAACTAGAGAACTGGAGATTCCTTCACCCAAGATTGAACCAATTATCAAAGCAATTGAGCAGTCAGTCCAGAATTGTTCATAGTATTGATGTCTAATTCCTGGTAAAATAAAACATCTTACCTTTAGCTGCAGCCATTTGTAAAGCAGTCAGTCCTGAATTGTTCATAGCATTGATGTCCAACTCCTGGTAGAATGAAATATCAGATTTTCCTGGACCTAGTAATCCATCTCGTTTACAGAAATATAGTAAACAATTGACGACTGCCAGGTGTCCTCTAGCACATGCTGCATGTAATACTGTAGCATTCGTGGCAGGATGACGACGACTTACATCACCGCCCCTCTAATAAACAAACATACATACATAGGAAATAATTACCATATAAGGGATCTCAGAGTGACAAATAAATACCAAATATGGGAATCCAAATAAGAAGGCTGTATACCAAATATGGATAATAATGTAACAAATTTGTTTGATAATATGACATCAATTTTTTTTTAAAGCATGTCATAACCAAATGAGGAAGTCAGTTGCCAAATATGGTCATCCGAAAATTTGCATTTATTTTTTGCAGAATCATTGAAATATGACTTATTTTTATGGTAACACAAATTGATTCAACAAAGCTGAACTATCAATTGTTATTCATTTCTTACCTCATAGAGCATTTTAATAACCTCAAGATGTCCATTTTCAGCAGCCACCATAAGCGGCCAATCACCAGCCCCTGTAATTGGATTGACATCGTCACCGTCTTCCAACGTACAATATAAACGATTAGCATTACCATTAGCAGCACACTCAAATAATGCTGGATTGACAATCTGTTTTTGTCTTTTATGCATAGATTTTTTGATGAATTCACGCATATCAGGGTCGTTGCAATACTTCAATGCAGCTTCCAAACCCTGTAAATATTTGCACAAAATATGATTTAGCTTTAAGTCATAAGTGGTAAAAAGACTCCAGGCAAAATTTATTCCATGCAAATAGTTGCAAATATGTCAATTTGGCTTATTAGGTATACAAAATGTATTCAAAATTCATAAACAATGGGCTGGCTTAACCAGAACGATGGAAGTCAAAATATTCTCCATTCACTGGTCAGTTTTATACACTTATACTAATAATATCTCCAATCAACCAAGGTGGTTTATGGTCTAAGCTGACTGTGACTGCGTTCATTAACTGGTTTATCAGTGTGTTAATTATAGAGGATTATGAAATACATGTAAAGTGCATAATATTGGATGTGTATGATGAAAGTAAATGTAAATGACACTTACAGTGAGTCCTGTATCATAGAGTAGAATTGTCTGTGCAACATTATGATAATTATATTTACATGCATAATGCAATGGTAGATATCCATCAATGTCTTTGATTGATGGATCTGCTGAACTCTGTAATAATACCTGTACTGATCTAACATTACCATTCCTGGCTGCAATAGATAGTGATGTTCTACCAGTCTGAAGAAATAAATATTGTACAATTATAAGTACATCAATTCACAGGGAACATAGGTTAGAGAGAAGAAGGTAGAAAACCATACAAATTATTTCTTTACATCACTCAGTTTAGAGTTAGTTTTCTGTCAGGATGCTGTAAAAACACTGCTTCCTTTTCTCTACCGGTTCGTTGCTATCATTGCATGATATATGAAATGGAATTATCCTGGATAGCACCATGGGTTGAGATAGACTGCATTGTTCATTGAGTTCTGATGAAATGTTGATGAAAACATTTTATTTATAATTTTGCATTCCTATTGAATATACTGTTACATAAAGATCAACTACTGGGTACATTTGTGTCAACAATCCTGATGTCTCTATGGTATATTATACACCTGAATTTAACCATACATAAACTGATATCTCTATGGTAATTCTATATTATACACCTGAATTTAACCATACATAAACTGATATCTCTATGGTAATTCTATATTATACACCTGAATTTAACCATA